ACGTGGAGCAGCAGCAGTACTATCATGTGCTCCCTTCTCCGGGCTATTTCCAGCTCTCTAACTCCCTCTGCATGACAGCAGCCTGAATAACAAGGACATTTGCTTCTGGCACATGCAAAAGGAGTGTACGTTGAATTAAAAAAAAAAAAAAAGTCTAAAGTGGTAAATACAGAAAGAATTATTAGGCATTGAATTTAACTGGGAGTAGTCACATAAATAAACGCTGCAGAACCAGGTGCACAGCACTACTCAGATGAAAGAAGGGTTATGCTGTGTTACTACAGTGAAAGCAGCATTATGACCCCTCCTATTCTGCCTTTACAGGCCCAGATTTCAAAAATCATATTACTTTCTCTAGTTTTAATTTTCAGTTACTTCTTGGCAGATCTAAGAGGTTTGGTTTTTTTTTAAACCACTGTGCATTTTATCTACCAGCCTGTAAGCCTTTTGTTCAGTATTACCTCCCTTTCTTTTCTGAAACAAGAGGCATCCTTTGGAATTCCAACAGAACAATAGGGGAAAAAAATGTTCAACAGGATGCTACACACAAGCTGACATAATCCAAACATTTGTCAGGCTCAACACAGCTCAGATGGTGAATTTATGAGTAAGCAAGTTTAATGATATGAAAAGACAACAGCAGAATTTATTTAATTAGAAGACTTTTTGGCAAATTCTTGTCTTCCACTTTTTTTTTTTTTGGTTTTTTTTTTTTTTTTTTTTTTTTTTTGTTTTTTTTTTTTTTCACTGGTGCAGCTAAAGTCTTGGGATCGTGTGAGCCTTTAAAAAGTTCATCTGAATACTTGTCAATCCTATAAATACATATTACAATGCGCAGCTGTGCAGTGGAGTTCCTTGACAAGCATCCTTCACAACTCTGTCACCTTCCTAGCATGCCTGTGTCACAGAAGGGGAAGCTGAGGAAACTTTAGGAGGAGAACTGGTTTTTAATTCTCATGTATCAACACTGGTCACTAGGAAAAGACTCTTCAGCCAGAGGGTGGTCTGTCATTGGACCGAGCTCCCAGGGAAATGGTCGTGGTGCCAAATCTGCCTGAGTTCAAGGAGCATCTGGATGACACTCTTGGCCATTTGGTTTAGCTTTAGGTAGTCCTGCAAGGAGCAGGGAATTAGAATGTTTGGTTCTTATGTTTCACTTCCATTCTGAGATAGTCAAAGGTTCTATGATAAATATACCTACAAGAAGCATACACTACATCATTTTTATCTATTTGAGAAAAATGAATGCATGAAAATTAAAACCACAGGTGAAAAACTGGACCAGTAAAAAAGGCCCCCTAGATCTCATCCAAAAGCAAAACATAGCAAACTGCTGGAACACTTCAGAGCCCTAAAAAGGTAGGACTAGAATGGGTTTTACAATCCATCTACTACTTTCACCGCTTTTGGGCAGGAAAAAGTAAATCTGTTCCTTAAAGATATTTGTTTAGCCTGTTTTAAAAAATAGATGGCCATTACAGATTGTCAACAACCTCCTAGCCTGCATGTCAGTGTTTAGCTTACACAGTCTTTGGAAAGCTTGATTTTTAGCCCACTATTATATGTCCTGTGCATAAATGCAAACAGAGCTTTATTCCCTTCACCTTTACAGTAATGTCCCATGTTTCTTAAGATTTATAACCTAGAGAAAATAGAGTAGAGGCATAAATCCAGTTCCTTTCTTTTTTGTCTCAAGTGTCTTAGTCAAGTGTTCTTCACCTCTGTTGTAACTCCGCATATTCTCCAAGTAGTCTACAGCTTCCTTGAAATGTAATGCCAAACTTGGACACATCATCTTAGCTTTCATCTCATCATTTCCAAGGAAAGACTCCTATGTAGCCACTCTGTTTATGCATTGCAGCATTATGTTTGAAGCTGCTTCCTCTTCACTCTAAGAAGGACACCCTTGGCCTGCCTGGGAGATCTAAAGTTTTGCTTACAATATACAAGATGAAATGAATTCAGTTTATGTTTTGACATTCCGTTCAATTTCAACCATAATTCTGTGGTAAACACACAATGAAAAAGCCAGTATTCCTGGCTCCCATGCATGTATTCAGACCTCAATATTGAACAGCTGACACAATTGTGACCCCCCAAAAAAAACACTGGTGCAGCTAAAGTCAGGGCTGAGAAGCCCAAAATAAAGCAAGAAACATCAGCTAAATTAAAAATTGCTAAGGAAAATAAAGAGAAGGCAATTTTTCTGCTGTATAAATAAAAAGGAACCAAGAGAAAAGAAATTATGCCACTATGTGGAGTTCAGATAAAAATAACACAGATAATGGCTATAAAACTAATGACCAGGCATTTGGGATAAGATTAATCTGACCTGTTTCAGCTGTTCCCTCAGAGTAACACTTTCAGAAATGCTTGCTTCTCCCTTCTCCTCTCATCTAAGACAGACTGTGGCACTCACGTGGGAGCCCATGGAGACCTTCAGGTAAGCACCAGAGCCACAACCCAAGCAACTTGCAGAAGCTTCAACAGGCCCCAGCAGGGGACACAGTAGAGGCACTTCAGTACAGGCAAGCAGAGGGAAACAGAACATGCTTCATCAAAAATAAGAGTGCTTGTTTTATTATCATAATTTCCTTGGCTTTTTTTCCTGCTATAAAATCATAATGTGTTTGTACAATATTCTTATTCTGGGAATGTATTTCAGTCCACATAAACATCTGCACTTAGTTACGTTAGCCAGTATCCAAATCCCAGCAAGATCCTGCCCTGATTATTTAGCTCTGAGTGTTTTTGCCAGCTTCTATTCCCAGAACACACTGGATTTATAGCTATGTCCAATCTCCAGCTTTGCTATTTAGAAGATTGTAACACACATGCTCAAACTGAACATCTTTTGTGCTAGGACAAAGTCTTTCCAGCAGGCTCAAGTAACGAGCCATTAAATTGTGCCAGCATACATTAGCAGCAGGAAAGTGAACTATTGTTGGATGAAATATGTTGGTCTGTATTTTTAATCACACTGTTTGACCTACATCTTTTGTTTGCTTTCCTTGATATCTAACCATAAAATACAATCCTTGATTCAAATGCCGATAAAACCTGTTGTCGAAATTTTGCATAACTCAGTGCAAAAGAACCCAGAACTCAAGTAAATAACTGCTAAGTCTTTTTTTTTTGGGATCACTGTGTGCTTTTGTCTGCTGCCTTGCAGAGCTAGATCCAAGCCATTAATAAAAAAGAGATATATACAGTTTCATCTGAGAAGACAAACAAAAACATGCAGGATATAAATCAAAACAGAGATTTGCAAAAGAATAGAGTAAGCACTTACTAAGCCAAAAACATACTGTTCTTGTGAAGAAGCCTGCTCTGACCACTGTGCTTTCTCCAAATGTATGTTTATGGAGTTCTAGGCCAGAACATTTTTTGGAGCATAAAGACATGAAGCATTCAATCCCAGCAGAATTCACTGTGATCTGCCTAATTCTTATGGAGCTGAAGTTCACCACAGTTGGCACAAGCTTACCTTCCCAATGCAGCTTCTATACAATTATTCTCTGACAGATATTTCTTTGTAGACTTATTTTACATGACTGACAACTGCCTCAAACTGTGAATATGCTAATAGATAAATACATAACCTGACCTCCTCCCCTACCACTCCCTCCCAAGATACAACCTGAAAACAAATTTTATGCCTTTCTTCAAGCAAGAAAACTGGTTTGGGGTACAGTTTCTTTGTATCTGGTTTGGATCTCTCAGCTGATGCTGAAATTTGCTTTGGTGTGTGAAAACACACACATTACAGAAATAAAAGCATCAGAAAGAAAAAGCAGAAAAGAATTATTAAAATGTATTTAAATCTTTTGAGCTGAAATACAAGTGATGTAACCAGTCAGCCAATGTAAGCTCACGTATTATCCATTCCTATTTTTCCCTCTCAAATCCCAGTTCCTGGCTCTGAGCAAGACAGCTTTTTTAGCTCCTGGTCCCTCTCCAAAGCAGGCAGAGATGAGAAATGCCCAGTCGCCAGCAGGACCAGGTTCAACTGTTTCCCTTTCCCTCCAGCCACTCACCTCACAGAAGGCCAAACACAATTTTTTTTCTGTGACTGGACAGCCCCTGTCAGCACACGCATTTTGAAGACTGACTATTCAATGCTGCCATTGTTTAAAGACTGCCCCATCCAGTACTTGATTGACAGACCCAAGGTTGCAGCCCTCCACCACAGCTTCTGCCCGAGAGGGGAACCAGAGCCCTGCTTCTCCAGCTCCAAAATAACATCCTCTCCCCAGGATTCTGTAGTCAACAAAAATACCAGGTCAAGGTACAGAGGGAGTCAGAGAGATTTATGTACCCTAAACCTACCAGCATCCAGATTCCAGCATGCAGAAGTGCATAAAACTATCTCAGAAAAGCTATCTGCACCATGAAAAAATACCATGCTTCGAATTTTGTCTAAGCAGCTTTAAGCATACAATATGCTTTTCTAAGCTAGAAATAATCCATAAATAAGAAGATTGGTAACAGGTACACAGCTGACAGGTCTCCTCTATGACAGTCTCCTCCTCAGTGACTGTATACTGTTCTAGAAGCAGGTTCTGTTAAAGAGAAGACAAGCACTCGAGCATTTCGCAGTGGCCCCTCCTATGCACATGTCAAGAACACTCCCATGCTCTCATGGCTATACCAGGTCATGGGTTGTGCTTCTAGACCCCAGCTGTCCCTAATACTAAGACAGTCAATAGAGGTTCTAAAGTAATAATAATAATGAAAACATATATAAATAAAGAGACAATACCTCTTCTGCCTCATTCATAGTGATATGAATCTTCAGTTATTAGAGAAAGGAACACCTTTGTTTTTATTTATACAGAAGCACTAGCACAAATTATTCTGGAAAAGCAAGCTCCAAATATCTCCTTGGCAGGCAGGGAAATAGGACATGAAAGATCACATACTATTTTAAGTGTAAAAAAGTATAAAATTTTATTTGACAAGTTAACAAATAATAACATTTCATTAGTCCATTAAAACACTTTATTACAAGGAAATGCAGTTGAGTTATAGCTGCACTACATGAAAGTTAATTCTAAGGTGAACAAACTGACCTACGGGAGAGTAGGCAGTTTAGAATGTACGTGTCTACTGTATCCAGTTTATTTTTAAAAGGTATTTTGTACAACTGAAAATTTACTAGATGTCAGACAACTCAAAAACTTATAACAAACTTCAGAACTATTCTTCTCAGATGACATAATCTTTTTTCAGAGATAGCTGAAGTTGCCTCACAGCTTTTAGCAGCTGAAGAGAACTTCTGCTCTTCTTCCCAGGACAAGGTTTCGACATATTTTCCTTTACAGTGACTGCAATCTCATTTGCTTCCTTTTGTTCACCACACTTTAGTTTGACGTAAGTTACCCCTTGCTTCAATTTCTGAGTTTTTCTCTTTAATTTTTGCACCTAGGAAAAAAAAAAATTTACTAATCGGCATGTTACGTACTCCAAAGACCCATAGCTGTAGAGGTGACTGGATTTCTACTGAACTCTAAACTACAGATGACTAAGAGACATTAAAGAAAAAAAGTTTAAGCTTAGTAACCTTGCTCAGTTGTCTCACTGTTACAGAAAACTGACTTTGCCCATAAAGAAGCCACCACAGAAAACTGACCTTACCCACACTCAATTGGTTGTTGAATCCCATTGCTCCCTAACATGAAAATGCTTGCTTGAGAAAGCTGGAAGATAATGTCTTAATAATCTACATTTACAACAGTTTCTTTTCATTTCAGATTGTACTACTCTAATGAAAAAACCAAACAACCAATAAACCTCTAAAATGTATACTGTTAATTATCAGTTACTGGATCTAAGCAGCTTATTTTGAAGCCTCCTTAACAAAAGTGGAAAACAGAATAAATAGGGTTAATTGCTAAAGAATGTCTTTTAAAATGTCAAATAATGAGTCTTGACTTGCACTTGGCATGAAAAGGTCACTTCCCAAAGATAAAATTAGGCTGGAAGCATTCCAAATGCCAATTTAGGCTTTAAGTCCAGTTCTAAAAATAATTAACTTTAATTGCATTCGAGAACATATTATTAACTGTGAAACGCAGAGATGAGCATGACACTTTTAGTATGGCAGGTTCTAGAAAAATAAATATGCATTAGAAATATTAAGATTGGTCTGTGCAAAATATAAATGGAAATGTCTGTGTGCAAAAACACAGAAAAAAAATATACAGGCCAAGGAGTTAGAGGAATGGCCTGCATTGATAACCAGGGCATGATGGACAGTAATCATACAGACACTACTATTTACAGCAGGACCCTAAGGAGTGTGCTCTGACCAGGCTGTACCAGAGCACAGAGGATTTGTCAGAAGATCTGCACACTGGTAAAAGGCAAAGAGACAACAAGGCTGCACTATGTTGTATGTGCTACTATTCATCATCCCAAAACAAAGGCAAACTCTGGCCATAAAGATATGCAAAAAGAAAGAAACCAAGGTGCAGTTGTTGCACCTGTCTTAGGTTCCTAAGGACAAAGACAGCAAGATTTTGAGGCAAGGAGTAACACCATAATTGTTGGGTCTTCAGGAATATGAGTTTTATCAAAAAACCAGCTGACATTGTCAAGAGAGGCAGTGAGAACCCAGCAGTCAATGCCCTTTGTCCATATTGCTAACATGCAAGTCTGACACATCTGCTATGATGTAAACCACCTCTATGCTTGCAATTACATGGACAATAAAAAGTTTAAGTGAGTAAAATCCATCAAAAATTAATATGAATAAAACTGGTCCGATTTAAATTAACTAAATCCTCCTCTTTTCATAAGGTCTCATGCTGAGTTTTGTTTTGTTTCCTGTATAAGCAAAGTTCTCAGGCAAGTATTTATCTTGAAACAAGATGAAAAAACAGAAACAATCAGACAGAGCTATGGATTGAATATTTAATCATATGCCCAAACCAAATTGCTACAAAAGAGTTAGGCCGTTCAACTACAGAAGAGGGATTTTATATGGGCATGTATGAAAAGTTGCTATCTATGGCTCTAAACTAAATACTGACAGAATGAGGGCAGTTTAAAGGTTAAACAAAACTGAAAGACTTGCCCAGCTATGATTTTGGAGAAGCTCTGGCCAACAGACTAGTTAACAAAAAAATCTTCGATGTTTCTGTAATATAAGAGACATTTAATCCAGTCTGTACAGGAATTACAGTTTCTATTTTTTCATTCCCCTGAGGGACAGGATATAAAGAAATGAAATTTCAACAGTTTGTCTTAACACAGTGAGCAGAAGTGACAGACAGTGCAACCCAGCTCGGTACTGCAGAACTGCCACAGGGCAGGAAGCTTTCCCACCAGCATACATTCCTAACTGCCAGTTGTACGATTGTAAGCACTCTTTCTTGATCCAATGAAGAAATTGGAGGTACAAAAATATGAGCCAGCAGTCTAATTATAATCACCCATACTGGAACATCTTGGCTGAAAACATTCCAGTGACATTCTAGCTGATGACAACAGGAGCCAGAGTTGTGGTAGCCTTTCAACAAGTGTTAGTAGCTAGAGAGTTTACATTTCATTCTTACAGTAGCCTGATGCTTTTTCAGCTTGGATATTTGTTTTCCTTTCATCTCCATTTGTTTTACAAGGCAATCCAGCTCCTGTTCCAGGTCTTCACGAGCTTGGGAGTCCTGAGTCTCCTGTATCTGCTTCAGAAGTTCTTGAAGCTCCCTATTAAAGACAAGAATAGCAATCTAAGTATTCATGATACAGTCTCTAGGATTTTTTCCTGCAGGAGTTCCTAGCCATTTTGTGCGGAGTATAGAAATTTAGCATTATTTCCACTCTCACACAATACACATTAATCTGGAATATATTAACATGAGAAAGGGAAAAGGTCTTCCCGTGAGTCTGATTTTCTCATTCCAAATTTTTAGCTGATGCCCATCTTACTTCTCCTTCTTCCCACAGGCATAACAACTACATGTGTAATACTGTGCAAAATGAGATTTTTGAAAGTGAACAGCAGCTATGCAGTACAACATTTTCACTTCCTGCCAATTTAGCACAGCCTTTGAAGGCTTAGTGTAATACATGAAAGTAGTTTTTAAACTAGTACATTCAAGTTACAATTTTTCTGACAAATTATTCAAAATAAAACATTATGCTCAGAAAGACTTACAGAAAAGTGGGCTGCTTAATTAAAATAAGCCGATTAAGTAAAAGAAATTGTGTAGATCTTGATACTCAGATACCTGAACAGGTTGAAACCAGAGACCTCCTCTTAGATAAATAATCCCTTTACAAAGGTCAGAGTTTCTTTTCTGACTTCTGAGTAACTGCTTCTCCTTGACAGTTTAATTGAAGCAACAGGTTGTTGCTGTTTAAAAAAAAAGCCTGTCTCTGAACTGCCATGAGTAAGCTAGACATCGCTTTTTGAACATTAGATTGCTTGCCAGTTTAAATTTTACCACATCAAGGATTTCAAATCAGCGTCAACATCCTAACTGGTTTAATCAGCACATCCTCCCCTGTTCAAACCACAGCTCATCGTGTTGACGTGTCTGCTATGACCAGCTACAGAGCTTTGGCCCACAGTCCCATGAGCCTGCATTAATCGGAAGATGGCTAAGAACACAACAGGCTGTAATCCACATTTACTTGCATGGCTAGAAAGATACATGCACTCCCATGTGAAGTGTTAGCTTCTTCCACACCCTGCCCATTTTCTGGCAGGAGACCGTCCCTCTTTCACAACCCCCTTACAGGACCAGCCAGTTCTCCTGCTATCAACAAGCAAAGGGTACGAGCACCTGACTGACTCAGCACAAGGACCCGGCAGGAACACGGGTAAGGAAAGAACACGGAGTGAGTACAAAGGAACAGGAGAGATGTTGTGACAGGACTGTTCATGCCAGAGCTGTACTAATCCATTCTACCACCTAGACTGACTGCATCCTGCAGGCCTACTCAATATCAGCACCACCTTTGCAGCCTTCTCCAGGAGAAAAATTTTGGTTTGCTCTGTATATCTCAGAATATGTTTAAAATGTCTAAAAAGCACAGGTCTGAAAGGCTTTTCATTTGCTGCTTTTTTAAATACAGAATGTGGAAGCAGAAAAACAAGACCAGTGAAACACAGAAAGAATTTTATGAATGAGAAAAATCCTACTAGTCAAGCCTGCTCAGGTCATTCTGTCAATAAGCAGTCTTGTAGCTAAAACAGGCTAGACTCGACTACAGCACCCTGTTGCTTCTCAGGGCTACTGCTGAAGTCACATTTACTGACAACACCAGCGATAGGTACTCACGAGCTCATTTGGCCCAGCTCATCTTGAAAGGCCAACAGAAGGTCTGAAAAGCTCCTGGTGGCAGTGGGTGATGTGGAAACAGATTTTGAAAGTGCACTGTGTCCTGAAATCCCAGCTGTAGCTCCTCCTTGTCCTCGCGATGAGATACATGGATTGCGGTGCTTCATAATGTGCAAAACACTTTGTACGTTTGCGCTGACAGAATGGCTGGAGCTGGCAGACTTAAAGAAGAATGATCAGTGGCTTACAGAAGTAATCAACAACTACACAGCCTTACTCAAAATGCAGATGCCACTTTAGTGACAACAGTGGTTTTCACCTACCTTCCCAGCCACAAAAGGTAGTTCACCAGCCTTTACATGTAATTGTGAAAGCTGCATCTTCTTCATTGTAGGATTTCTCTGACATAAGAAAATATAAGAGAAAAAATTCCAATCTGCTGACTCAAGAGTACAATCTTAAACTTTTTCTTAATAAGTAAAATTCAAGTAAATACACAGTGAAATGCATCACCTCAGTTTTCTTCTGGTTTAAAAAAAAAAAAATTCCCTCCTGTATGTGTAACAAATAAGACTTTCCAACAGCTGACACAAGTAAATTTTATTCCATGTGCATGTAGGAGATTGTGTAACAATTAGGCTAACATTAAAGGAATTGAACCTTTTTTACTTATGTTTTCAAAACCACAATTAAAAAATTTTGACTGATCTGTAACATGTGTTGCAAAATAAATTCTCTTGATTTCAGTAATCCCCCCAAAACACACCACCTTAAGATGCTGAGCTAAAACTCCTTTGGAAACTAATTTTGCCAGATAAACTGAATGGAAGCTAAGACAGACCATGGGAGATGGCAGCAAGACTCTAACAGAGATAATTGTCAAGCTGATAAGGGAAGGTTTTCCAGTGATGTCCTACCAGCCCCAGTACCATTTTAATTAATGAAGGAAAGAAAAAAAGGGGCAAAAATAGTTATTTAGCACTGTTTGTCACTTTAGAAGTGGAGTAAAGTGCAGCAGATTAATCAAGTGCCTCTTACATGACCAAATTTTTCACAAATTCCAGTCTTTGTGCAAGTCAGATGTTATCAGCAACAGTATGCTAATAAAAATTTCCACGTTACCTTCCTAGGTTTTTTGTTCTTCCCATTTTCCTTTTCAGGTTCATGTTGAGATGTTACCGAAGACACCAAAATTCTGTTCACATCAAATCCTGTTTGAAGCTGTGGCAATAAGCAAAAACGAAAACAGACATTTAATGTAATATTAGAAGTATGAAATATCAAGTTTTAATTAATTCTCTTGTTCATGGATAAGAACCAATTAAGGGCACTATTAATTGCCTTCCTTGGAAGGCATAAGCTAATCTTAAAACCTGAACAGATTACTAGGAAGGCAGGGTATCAGGCAGATCTTGCAGCTCTGTCTTAGTATTCCTCATTTTCATATTCAGTTGCAGCACCAGCTGTATTTTTCCACTGTGACAACCAGCAACTGAGATAAGCCAATCCTGCCACATGCTGACAATGTGATCATAAAATCTAAATTATATGAACATTTGGCTCCTACAATCTGGGGACAGAGAGAACTAAGCCTGTGTGTTACATTGAGGTCAAACCTGCTGGACGGTCCTCGTACTGCTCGGTGGTTCGAAGTTGCTATGAAGGCCCATGATAAACAGGATGATAATCATCCCCAATTAAACACAGGACAAGGGCTTTGGTTTGGCATGTGTTACAGTTCCAGCTGAACAACGCTGGAGGTCCACCACTAAAGTGAGAATATTCTGGCTTTTCTGTCATCAAGAGGAAGTGAACCACACCACACCCTGTGCTTCCCAGCTCAGATCCAACAGACCTAAATCCATCCTGCAGTATATTAAGATGGTACTAACACTACTTTAGGACTCAGTTTACTGCATCTAAGTCCTTTCTTGACCAAATGTTTAGACTATCTGCTCTGTGAGAGTCATTCTTACCATGTTTCACAGAAGATAAAATCTCTGTACTAGGTCTTTTGCTCTGCAGCAGCATGCAGTCTAAGCAAGAAACCAAAAAACCTACCAGTTTTCAACTTGTCATTCTGCTAGATTCTGGAGGTGGTCAGACATCTGGGCTACAAATTTGCATGTTATTTAAAGCTTTCTGGGTTGATGAAAACCTATCATCCTTGGATGAGGTATAAGAGCTGACAGCAGTGATTAATTAAATTAAGGCATCAGCTTTGCTTACATTATTCCAATATTACTCTTCAGCACTGCAGCCCCCACCTCACCCCAGGGGAATTCCCCCACAACTGGTCTCTCTTTCAACCTGGCTACTACTTAGGCACAAAGTGAGTTTTGGAATATGACGACCTTGCTCCTTTAACAAAAGGTTTCATAATTTTGCTCTCTTCGGCAAACGCTCCTCTCTCAGATGGATGCTGGCCCAACAAACTGATTATGGCTTCACAGAATAATGAGTTATACAAGATCTCATTTGATGAACAACATATCACTGAATAAGTGTTTTCCAAGTACAGCCCTATGTATTAGATTTCTAAAGATCTTAACAAAGGGAGGAAAATAAACATAATAAGCAATCTCACTTGGTATATATGGTTTCCTATGTGACCACTTTTGAGTTACTGAAAATTAAGTTAACCTGATTCAGTTACAGATTTTCTAGAAATTAATTTTCTACCTGGGTCACTTAGAGCAGTGTTGAGGCTGATGAACTGTATCACTAATACAAACCTAAGTAGAATCTTCATTGAAATATACAACACACCTGGCAAGCTTTCTAATATGTGGCTTATAACTGATCTAGGTAGTATTTCAGGAGTTCTGCCTGGGTAATAAACACAAGGAGTTAAAATGTAATAAAACAAGAAGGGCATTTTGAACAGAGGGAATAGCTTTCTTCAGTACTAAAAAAGAAGATAAAATAAAATCTTTTCAGTCTACCTGAGCAGTTTTTTCTTGTATTAGCTTATGCTGGCACTCTTCTTTACATAACTTTTCTTCTAAGTGTTTGATCTTGTCCTGAATTTGAAGGCAAGAATGATTAATTGCACTTCAATTTGTCATGCTGAATCAGAAGTCTGGAGGAGTTCACAACTGTAATGTGGGGATAAAACTGGACTGTAGGAAATTCTAAAGCCCAGACTGAAAAAAGACTCATGCACACAAAGGTGAGGTGGCATTCAGTCAGGTATGCTTTAACAGAGGTAACTTTTGCAAAACTTAGTACTATTAATAGTATGCCATAAAATTATACCAAATAACTTTCAGACTGTCATTCCATGCATGCTTACTTCAGCAATTCTCTGAGTAGCAGTAAGTTTAAGACACTCTTTTTCTAGCATTTCAAGCTTTTCAAGTTTTGCATGCAGTTCCAACCGGTTCTGATCTTCCTCTTTCTGAAGCTGAGCCTGGAAAAAATAAGCAAGAATGGAGTTGGCAACTGACTGAAATTGTTTCAGACAGCAAAAAAACCACCAAACCACCCCACACTAGAATAAAGGTATTTAATTAGTTTCAATTCCATATTTTTTAAATTGCAAAGTGATGAAAAATACCAGGCAGACAAAGACGACTTAAGCTTCCAGCAGCTTTTTTGTCTACCAAGTGTGCAAGTATTAGCATGGCTTTGCTCATTAGGAGTTCCACCCAGGGAGCTTTTCATGCACTTCATTGAATGGTTGTCATCAGCCATACACTAAATTACTTCTGTTTGCCAGCAGCCTGAACAGAGCTGAGGAAAAACACTGACCACAAAAAACTTCAGGTCCTGCACATTTCTATACTTTTGAACTATGTCACTACTTTGTTATTATGCTAAAGGGCTTTACCTGTTGTTCTAAAATCATTCTCTTTTCCAGTTCTGCACTGGAAACCATCTTTCTCATGTAATCCAGCTGTTTCTCCAGCAGGGAGCAGCGGGATTGTACTGCATTTGAATCTACAGAGAGAAATAAGACATTCAGTACAGCAAAGGGAGCTACACATTTAGCCGGACTGTCACATCATTGAGGAATTCTCTGTCTTCAAAACAGGCAAGAATAGTTTTGTTAGTCTGAACAAGTAATGAGGTTAAAATGTATTTTATATAGAAGACATAAGAATCAAAATGTTTTTGCAAAGCTAGTCTCTAATTTGAATTCCAAAGGCATGAGCACTGCAGTTACTTTGATTTGTATCTGCAGATACCTAACCAGAATCTGAGAGAGAAGAATCTTCTCTTCTCCTATCTTTTCTCAAGTTAGCAGTGTTATGTAAGCAGCTGCTTGCTTATTGTAGGAGTTAAACATACCACCTGAAACATGCTTAGTCTTTAAAATTGCTTTATGGCTTATACAACACTCGGTTGATATATGTAAAAAAATATCTCAACTTTATCCACAATTATCAAGCTCCTGTCCCTCCTCAGTTCTGAAGCAAAAAACAAAAAGGGGCTGCACTAATTAGCAGTTTTTCAAAACAAAACACTCCCTGGATTATACAATCTTAGTGTTGCTGTGGCTACACCTTATCACTCCAAAGAAATACCTTTCCTCTGTTGCATCAGCTCTCGATGTGCTGCGTCCTTCTCGTAGGATTTGTACTCTAAGACCTTCTTGTACTGAGCAGCTGCTCTGGAGAGGCTGCACAGTTTATCTTCAGCCTGTGACTTCTCCAGCTCTAGGCGCCGGATCTTTTCTTGCAGAGATCTCAGGGCTGCCATTACAGCTAGCAGACAACACAACAGCTTCACCTTAAGTAACAGTTCCTATTTTGATTATGATTATCATTATTAGAAAACACTTCACATTACAATGTACTAATTTTTTTTACTAATGTACCTAAATTTTCTTCCTAGTATCACTCCCAAAATTAATTATATTCCCCAGCTGTACACTAACATGTGCAGGACACCTATGGGAGAAAACGGATGTGTTTCCTGCATAACTGGGGTATGAAGCTCTGGCCATATAAGCAAAACTATTTTCACTCCAAATGGCAGCAAGCACAAAGAAATCATGGCAAATAGAATATAATAAACCTGAGGGCTTCTCTTTAAACAGAAGCAGAGAACACAGTACAGAGAACACAGAGAACAGGTATCCAAGTGAGGTCATAAGTTTTGGTGTAAGGCAACTGGTCTGGAAAGATTAAAAAGAGAAAACATGCTCAGAACATGGGGAGAAATTAGATACAAAGGACAATTTAGCAAAGGATACATTGTTAAATACTTTATTGTTTCAAAAGGTAATGCTTCAACATCTAGTATCTAGTATGTTTTTGATGATTCTTTAAACCATGGAAACAAGTCTGGAAGATTTTGCTTTCAGCCTCAAATCAGTATGTGTCAAATTATACCAAAAATAAAAGCTGCAATTTCAGCTACAAGAAAAAGTCTGCTAGCTCTCATAAAGCATACACGCCTGTGGAAGCTTAAGACATGTCCTGCAACAAGTCAAGCTTATTTTCTGACATTTTATAATTGACAGTTTCTCTATTCCAAACTCTTTCATCAAAAGAATACCATCAGATATTGCTACCTCCATAACAACTTTCACCATATTATCACAGATCCATTTAAAAAACAAACAAACAAACAAAAACCAAACCAAACAAAACCACAAAACAGCAAAAACTAAACAAGCATCAAACAAAAACTCAAACCCAAAAGCAAATACCAGAAAGCAGAAGGATGAAGTGGGATCACCTTTTCTGTTGCTATGCCAAACATTTCCTTAACCACTTAGCTACGTAGCATGAAACTGATCCCTGTAATCCAAAAAAGCCCAAACTCTGTATGAAATAAGATTACTACAGAAATCACAGATTTTCAGGTGAAGAACAATGATCACATGCACGCTCATAGGTTATATCTGTGCAAGGTAGCAAAGTTGTCCATAACAGTTGGTCCAAGTATGGGTATCCTTAATATTCCCCAGGCTCTCCAGATATGTTAAGCCACTGAGCATTTGCCTTGTGAGCTCCAGAGAGTAGTGACCCATTAAGGCACATGACAACCATATTTCATAGGGACTAACTTTGATGCTGCTAACTTTCCTGGGAGGCTGAATTGTTCAAAAGTTCTCCTAAGGAAATATACCATGCAAAAAAAAAACCAAAAAAAAAAAAAAACCCACCAAAAAAACCCACCAAAAACCCAAACAAAAAAAACCTCCCAAAACAAACAAACAAACAAACAAACAAACAAAAAATCCAGACCCTTAGAAGTGATTTTAAGCTGTAAGAAGTCAAATAGCACCATGCAAAGCCAATTTCAGGTCACAGTACCATACTAATGATCTTTTTTTTTTACTGTATTTGAAGTCATGAACTACTTCTACTGAGTTTGAAGCATTCTCCTTTGCTTTCAGAGGAAGTCTGACAATTTTAAGTTAAACAAATTTCAAAGCCAAAGTTTACAAGGATGTTAGAAGATTTGCAGAGGTTTCCATTCTAGACGTATGACTTCAGGGAGACTACTCCCTCAGGACACATATACATCCTGTCTTAATGTCAGACTGATAACTGCAGCAAGTCATTGAACTCAGTCAAATAGGATGGGGAGTTTGCTCAAGAGATTTCACATGGAACAATTAAAAAGACTGTTTTAAGGACATATTTTGGCTATACCTTGGTTATTTGGGAGAGAAGGCTTGTCACCAGCAGCAGCTGCCAACTTCTTTGATTCTATATAAACAAAGGCTGCAGGAAGCCTCCAATCTGGTGGCTGAAGAAAGCTTCCTATGAAACTGTTCTTTGATTCAGAATCCATAGCCTGTAGAAAGAGAGACATTTAAGGACATTATTTCTTTAAAAGACTCTTTTTCAGAAGTATGTCACTGGGCTGTTCCTGGCTCTGTTTATATCAAACCAGATCATGTACACCAAAATAATAATAATAATAATAGTAGTAGTAGTAATAATAACAACAACATCAACAATAATAATACCCACACCCCACCAGAGGAATCCTGTCTTTTAATGCAATTCCAAAACAATATCTTTCATAACACTAAAAAACATAGCTTCCTTTGACCAACCAAAATTTTCCAAGATTTTTCTAGGTGCTTTCTAAAAACTTATGCTGATTTTTGTCCTTTAAAAACCCAAGCATCAGGAGCATTTTCTACTGTTTTACAGACTTCAATGTTTTGACTTTAAGTGCTCCCTGCAGAGCAAACATTCCAGGTTTTACAGCCTATTTCAATTTGCAGCCTCCTTAGTGCTCCTCTTCCCATCTTTTTGGATGTAAAACCAAATTACATATGGTAAAAATTGTAACATTATTCCATAATAAACACACAGTTCTCCACATTTAGTGTTGAGATAACAGGATTTAATATGCAATATCCCCAGTATTATCTCCATTATCAGGTGCATGTATTAAGTCCTGTTTCTTCACTCCCTTTCTGTTCCACCCTTTCACATTCTTTGTTTTATGAGAAGCACATTTGAAGACAGTTCACACCCTGTCAAACAGAAATTTTTCTTGATACTCAAGACATGAACAGTGAAATGTGCAGAAAGTGCTTTAGGCTTATACAACCTCTAGGAATTAAAGCAAGTTTGAAATCATCCTAGAGTGACCTGTCAAAGTAGTATCAAGCATTTCACTTGATACAGTGTAAGAAGAGAAGAGTCTATACAGGTTCAGCTAATAGAAAAACAGCTTATTTGAAGGTTCAGTGATAGAACAATTATGATTGTTGTATCACTTGTGTTTAAAATACAAGGCACAAAACTGGAGCAGTCTTCCTGCTTGGGTAAGGCTATTTTTACAGATGTGATTCCCCAAGAAAATCACCCAAAGGAGGTATCTAGTAACACGAAGAAGAAAGGGACCAAGACTATGGCCTGCTGATGAAGCACACCCCAGGAGAAGCCATTCATACAGGTGGGTGGCAAACAAAGGAAAATTTTTCAACAAAAAAAAGTTTCTAGGAGCACTTGCAGCTCTTACAGCCTGTTTCAAAGGCTGTATAAAAAACCCCAAAATAATAATCTCCAGCTGCACTGCCTCTTCAAGGTATGCACTAAACTGAAGGCAAGCAAAAATCCTCCTTTCTTCCTCCAAACTGTCATCACAGAGATGTCAACATGAGCCCCTCTTCACCAGGGCTTGCTTGACCAGGGGCCTCCCAGCCAGCACCACTTTTGTGTGCTAACACTTCCAAGGTCACACCATTCAGAGCAGCCCCCCGGGCCCAAAGAGGGAGTCCCAAAGAGGGAGTCTATCCAGGCTACCCTCATGCCACAGGTTTTTTCCAAAGACTTCTCCATGGGGCCCTGCTGCCATCCTACTCACGGCCAGGCCACAAACACTTGGCACTGGGTAGGCAGCAGCAGACAGCCAGGCATCCCACCATCACCTGGAAAAGGTTCCCTCTGGTGATCCCACCACATTTATGGCCACAAAAGCTGTTTACAGGCCTCCCTACATCTGTCCTGAAGGACTGGGAAAGACCATCCTGGGATGGTCTATCAACCATGTCCAACAGCACAAGGGGTAATGGCAAAGGCACAAAGCAGGGAGCAGCAGAAACCTCAAAACGTGGATGAGAAAGTCCTGTGGTCACAGAGGTGGTCCGGGCCAAGACAAGAGAGGAGATGGTCCTGGCATGGCACAGTGCATCAGCATGGAGTTCCAGAAAATAAGAGAGCAGCAAGACTTAAATATTTTCCTGCTGCTATTCAACCCCTTCACATTGCTCTGTCCTGAAGTACTGGGAAAGACCATCGTGGGATACCTGGCCAGCTGGCCAGGTCTATCAACCATGTCCAACAGCACAAGGGGTAATGGCAAAGGCACAAAGCAGGGAGCAGCAGAAACCTCAAAACGTGGATGAGAAAGTCCTGTGGTCACAGAGGTGGTCAGGGCCAAGACAAGAGAGGAGATGGTCCTGGCATGGCACAGTGCATCAGCATGGAGTTCCAGAAAATAAGAGAGCAGCAAGACTTAAATATTTTCCTGCTGCTATTCAACCCCTTCACATTGGTGATAAAAAAGCCCAGCAAAAAAAGTCCATAAAAATGAGCACATGGACAGGCAAGAAGTATATGAATAAAAGGCAACCTTGGAAACAGCAGAGGAAGAGGGTGGTTTTTGCTTACACCATCCAACCTTCTGGCAGTCAGCATAAGTGGAGACTCACTTTTCCAACATCCTCGAGTGGAACATGGCTCCCCTGCATGCCTGCACAGCTACACATCAATTACTTTCCTTATTACTTTCATGTAAACAAGTTCTGCTGTTTCCAAGGAGATGGGTTTGTGGACAGTTGTAAGGAGGGCAGTGATCTGAAGCAAATAATGAAAAAGGGAGGGAATAAAGAAGCAGAATATTTGAGAGTTTGTGGACAAGCTCAGTAATAAAAAGGTGGGGGGGGAGGGGGCATGGAGGACACCTATTTGGCAGAAAGGGAAATAAAACCCCTTTAGTTCTGCAAGTGAAACCAATGGGAAGTGAAAGAGAAGAGGCCAGCTCACCTGCCTGGTGGTGGTGATTCAGCTAATCCGGTGTGGGCTTCAGCACAAAAACCCCAGAACTTAAACGTGAAAATAAACACCCTCCAGCTGGAGGGGGGAGCTCCCCGCACTGCTCCTAAAAGCACAGGCTCAGCAAAGGGTGTGAAAGAAAACACCAGAGGACTGAGACACCTGTGTTTGCAGAAACTCTGCTGCAGCCACAGTTAGGGACGCCTTGCTTCACCACAGCTTCCTCAGATACAGAGCCTGTGTGGAGCAGCTGAGGGCATGGTTGCTATAGTGCTTTGAGGCTGTGTCAGCATAATTACTCTGGTAGAGGTGCTCTGGTGTAGACAAGTCCTAATGTCTCAGCAGGTAAATACAGTTTATAGCAACCAAACTGCACAGGAGGAACGTCTACAACATTGCAGACCTCAGGCAAAGAGATGCACACCAGGAAAAGGACCTGGTCAATCTACACCAGCAAGATATCACTAAACATCCTGGCCACTTCCAGCCCAATGCAACAAGGAACATATCAGGAAATAGTTAAGTAGTTTGACGTATGCTTGAACGTCAACTGTCCTACCACAACTTTTTTCCCCCCAAGTATTTAATCTTCTATAAAACCATCACAACCAGGTTTGCTTTATAAAAATTCTTATACAGCAAGCTTAAACCACTCTCTTATTTCATGGTGCTGCTGCCATGGACACCTGGTACACAGCCCTAGAGAGGTGCTTTAAAGCAGATATTGCTTCCCAAACAGCAATGTTTGTACTAATGTAACTCCACAAGGCTTAGGGGGATTTAGCACTTGAACAACACTCGTTAAAGCAGCCGGAATATCGTTGTTTAGACAAGCCCTTGGTTGAGGAAAGCAGTGCACTCCTTTGAATTTGGGCAAGAGCCAAGAGAGAAGTATGCATACTAAACAGAGGCTGTCAAAATACCCCAGTTACATGCAGAAGGGAGGGGAAGAAGGAAGAAATGCCTCACTCCCACCTCAGCAGCCTACACTGCTGTGGTGAGCAGGGTGAAGCACTTGTGTTGTGCATGTTATATCTGGAGTCAACAGTGGCCCTTTGGGTTTTTTAACGGGAAATGGCAGGGCCTGTGTTGGTGGATGCAGTAGTGATGCTCAGACACCCAGCGTTATTTTACCCAGAAAACACAGAGTAACTGGTTCCAACACTGGCTGCATCAAGAATGGGGTAACTTAGTTCTGCTCATGGGCTTACCATGGGGCCCTTCCAACTCAGAATATTCTGTGATTAAATATCAGCCTGGGCAAGCCAGCTATGTTTTTCTCCATGTCTGAGCTAGGAGGCTCACGGAGCTCTGTGCCACACAGTTGCAACCCTGTGCATGGAGCGTGATGCCAGGCACAGCACATTATCTCTGTAACAGTGCTGCATTAATGCAAATACTCTGCCCAGCTCTTGCTTTGCTGCAGCTGGAGTGCTCAGCCCCGGGGTTGTGAGCATGAGAAGGGCTGGTCCATTCAGTGGGACCACTTCTGCCTCTTGGCTCAGCATCACATGCAGGCTGAGAGTGAGCTTGCACAAAGTACGCTGGGGAACAATCCCACCATCAGGTCCATCCCTGTATATGTGACATTCATGCCTGAGAAAAGAGCAAGCAAACTGGAGTTTGGTACCTTAAGACAAACAGAGAACTTCCCATTTCATCAGAGTCATCTAAGTACTAATACCATTTACCTTTATACCATTTCTGTTTACTATGGCCTGCAGTGAATGCCAGAGTACTGCATTGGATTGCTGTAAAAATCAATTGACATTTTAGTTACTGCTGTCTGGCCCAAGCAAGTATCCTAACAGTGGAGAATTACTGAACACAACTGACATCCCAAGTATTACAGAAAGATCACTTGTGACTTCTTCATCATCCTCCACCCTTCCCCTGTGTTTCTCCCCTCCAATGCAAGTCACTTCATTACAAAGTTTCAAAAAAATGTCTCCTCGAGTGAAAGGTCCAGAAACACTCTGCCACACATACAGTTATGTCTCATGTTGTAAAGCAGCATATGGAAAAGCTTTTCCCACACATAAACAATAGCAGACTTAGGTAATAATGCTGGCTTAAGAGTCTCCCAAAAGACACACTAAATGAATAATGTGATAATGTAAGGGATACTTCCACTAAATTCTCCGATATTTGCTATCTCACAGGGACACTGGTTCATTCAAATTGCTGTGACGGCAACCTTCTACAACCAAAGAAAGAGATGCTGTCAGAACACCTTCAAAGAGAAAAAAGAAAAAGCAGATCAAGGCATTTTTCAGAAAGAAATACGAAGATATCTATCTTCTGGCCTGACCTACCGGGCATGCACAATTTATAGTGGCTTTTTTGATAACTGAAAACAAAGTCTTAGATGAGCCAAAGACTGATTCAGTCTTTATCTGACATAAGAGAAGTTCTAAAGAACTGCCCCAACACAGGCAATACCGAGAAGCTCCCAAAATTCTGGCTGCTGCCTTGTCTACTTGAGCCAAGTCTTGTTGGCTAATGGTAATGTGAGAAGCCATTTTTGTGACACAATCCAAACTGGTGTATTTTTTCCCCTTTCACTTTCCTTTGAGAACTGGGAGAAAAGCTTGGTCAGCTGTACTAGCTGTGCTGCAACACTCAGCCTTATTCCCAGCAGACAAGGAACAGCCCTTCCACAGAGGAAAAAAAGAAATAAATAATGTTGTGGGCAAACGGCATTGTTGTTTTGGGAACACCCAGTCTCTAGCATCCTGACACAACCACTTTAATCAGCCTGAAACACATGACAATGCTCAGGACATATCTAAGCAGCTGATACTCCCATATCTCTTCTAATATAAGTGGGTTAGACATGAAATGGTGGCAGCTGCAAAACTAATAAAAAGTGAAACCTCACTGAATCAATAAAGCATTTCAAAGTGTTTTTTAAAGTTTTGTCAACTTCCACTTTAAGTAAGTTCAGAGCAAATGGCAAAAATTTATTAGAGAAATTAAGGAACCTGGGAGTGTTTGGAAAAACCGACACAGCCAAATCCACCGGAGGCAGTTTGTTGTGCAAACTGTGAGATACACACTGGCAATCTGAGAACTGGATACATAAAGGTTAAATTTCCAGTCTCTTCTTTGATACTTTTGTAGCAAAGCCCATCAAGCCTTATGCAGAACTTTCGTAAAATCATTGTTTTTCATTCTTGGAAGAAGAGGGAAAGAAAAGGCATTCTTTTTGCTCATTACACCATATGTACTGTCAAGTAGGACAAAACCTGGCATTTTAATGAAAACAACCCCAAACCACAAACAACCCAACAAATGCCCAAAACTCCTAAGACTTTTCACTGTGTCAGCATTTCACTTCTAAGCATTCACACTAATATTTCTCTAGTTCCTGTTTGCTACAGAGAAAAGACAGAACAAAAAAAAAAAAAAAAAAAAAAAAAAAAAAAAAAAAAAAAGAGGAAGAAAGAAAGTGGAATGAGTTACACGAGTACTTTGTGAGCAAGGCAAAGAAACAACCTAGTGGAGAAAAAAACCTGTGATTTTAAAACAATTTTTTGGGGAATAGATTCTAACCTGGCAATGTATCAAGCATGCAAACTTGGGTCAAAATATTATTAGAGTTTTGCTGTTTTCTTCAATGAGTACAGCAGACCAAATTCCTCGTCCAACTGGGCCTTCATCCAAAAGTACATGATACACTCACAATCAACCCTTGGTGGGTAAATCAACTTGGTGTAAATTGCTTTAACCTCTACATGCAGATGAGAACTGAACTTTAGAGGAGCAAGACTGCAATTCCTACCTAGAAATAATTGCTATCTTAGCATGAAAATATTTAGCCTGTATATTTAGCCGGTGCTAAATATATGAAAATATATGAAAATATTTAGCTGGTGCTATCAAAATAATTACATTTATATATCTTTAATCAGTCCAAAGTAATTAAACATAATCTTTTTGTAATGAGCATCAAACAAAACCCAAATACTGTAAATGATCACTAATACACTTCCTCACTTCACCCACAGTTCTGTTCCTCTTCTTTCATTTACCTTCTGTTACATATGGGGTTTGTTCCTCATCTCCTCTCTCTTTATTCTATTTACATGATCCTATAGCTTTGTTCCTTGCCCTTTGCTATTTGGTATTCTTTTTATCCTACTCCCTCTTCTAGCACAAAAAACTAGGATTTTTTCAAAGTAAAAATACCCACTTCCCCCCCCCCCCCCCCCACCAGATTAACAATCCAGTTTATTCCCTTTATACTTAAAATCCAGAGATGCTGCTTGTCCTTAGTATACTGACTGATGTGGAAATTGAAGGTGTTCTCCTCATACTCAACATGAAGAATGTAAAAGGCTACTTTTTCTGTCTTCTGTTATTTTCTGCTGATGCCATCACACAGTCTTCCGTATGTAGTTTCTTTAGTTTGGTGTGTCTTGATAGATTGGAAGGCAGGAAGAAATTACTGGCTTTGGCTATATACCCTTGGGGAAAAAAAAGAAAAAAAAAAAAAAAAAAAAAAAAAAAAAAAAAGCTTTGGCTATATACCCTCGGGAAAAAAAAAAAAAAAAAAAAAAAAAAAAAAAAAAAAGGAAGGTTTGCTGTTGTGTAAAGGGAAGGTTTTGAAGGGTAACTGACTCCAGTATAAAAGACTGTATCTGTGCACAGGCAGAATAATTAGATATTAGAAAGGTAAATGCAAAAAGGAAAAGGCACATTAGGGTAGGGCAGGGCAAATATGAGGGTGGGTTGAAATGACAATCATAGTGAAGAAATATAAGAAGGTAGGGGATGATTATTGCAGGTGTTGACTCATTCACAGTAAACACTTTTACTGCATGATAATTTTCACCTTTTATGTCTCAAATATTTAATGGTATCACTGAAAGATGGTTTTGAACGTTGCAACTTGCCCTCTAGGCAGATGAAACACACAGATTGTGCCCCACTGTTGCCTTGGAATTTATTTTTAAAGTAAACTTCTGTTTTTACTAATACTTTCTCAGGGAAAATGTCAAGTCTCTTCATCCACTATCCTTTAACCTAGCCTGAAGATGGAATAGGAGGTAGATTTTAGACAGATAACCACAAAAGCTTGACATGGATGAGCAGAGAAACACAAAGAGGGTGATTATTCATAGGATTTGTCTCTTTTTACCAACTACCACACCTACATTTTTTTCATGTATTCCTGTGCTGCCGATAGCTAGGCACCTGGCAAGGAACAAAAACTCCATTCTGCATTTGTACATCAGGCAGCCTAAGAAACAGAATGAGGCAAAAAAAAAAAAAAAAGTTAGCAAGGAAAAGAAAAAATTAGTTTCTCTCCAGGCAAGAAGTTATTCCCAAAATCATATTTTGTCTGAAATAGTTGCCTTCTAATATGCAGAAAAAATGAAAGCAACTCCTCGAGTAACTCTTCGATCTTATTTTGGAGACCTATTTTGTTGAAGAATGGTTTTTAAAAATATTACCTGTTTACATGACCCAGAATAATCACAGCAATTCTAACATTCATGTGGCACATCCTGAACAGGCACAATATTCTAGGTATTAATGCCAAATAGTTTGTATTTCATATGGTATAATCAGTATTCAAAAATGTAGAAATGGTTTTATCACTATTTCTACCCTGAGTTGCCAGGGGAAACTTAAAACTGTCAAAGGCATTACTTGTTTCATATAATCTGTATATTTAAACTTGCATGGCTTTGGAGATACAGAAAAAGCAAATCTGAGTAAGAAGCTACAAAATCCTGTGCAATGTTGCAGGCAGAAAACTAACTTCAATTGATTATAAAGTTTTAATAGGCATTTCTTCCCTATTAATTATATTCAGTTTTGAATGCAAATAGTTATGCATATATGAAGGAAATTTAGTGGGTCTCTAGGTTCTTGACTCCAATTTTTGTCATTCTGTGTGACCTTAATAAATCAGAGGGTTGGGACTAATAAGGGACTGATGTTTCAGGATACATGAGCCTTTCAGCCTTGGGGCTGAGTGTGCTAATGACAGGCTTAGTTCCCTGCATGAAAAGAAATACAGGTATAGATCCAAAACAAGCAGCACACTCAGTGAGGAGCTAACAAGAGCTTTGTTTCAGGGTGAGGAAACTCTATGAACATAGACGTGGGTGAAGTCCCACCCTGGTGCTTGGCACCTTTATCTTCTTTGGACTCAGAATTTGGAGTCCTCTTCTGGCAGTGAGTGCCAAAATCTGTTCTTTAAAACAATGAATAAAGAGTCCCTGTAGCTTTTCTGGTCTGTGACTTCAGTTCATGTGGCTGCTGGTCACAGCATTTTTCTTTGTGTTATTGCTGGAAAACACCAAGGTCGGTGTTAAAAGCCTGCCAAAGGCGCTTATAGGGCCTTTTGGGCTGTCAGCAGATATGAAATTCCCAATAAGCAACGTTCCTTTTCTTTTAAAGTGCAGCTGGAGGAAACAGTGTCCACCTTCTCTGTGCTGCTAGCCAGTGGTCAGAGCATTGGCCAGGAAGTGGGAGTTCCTGGGGAGCATTCATGCCTCATCCCTGACCACCATGCTAGACTGGGAGGAGGAAGAGCAGGAAGGAAACAGGGAGTCACCACCTTTTCGTTTGAAGTTATGACCCTGCTCCAAAAAGCATGTGTGGCTCGAACAAGGACAAGGCAGCTGAGACCAAAGAGCAAAACACGGAGGTGTCTCTCTCATCTAGTTCAATCATCAAAACAGGGTCCTGGGGTTAATTTATGCATTTCTGCAGTAACACTGGTCTGGGGAAAGTTATCAGAAACCAGGAATAAGTGCCTACAGATCCCTATGTCTCCTTCCTTCTAGCTCACACTACTGTCACACATTTGCCATCCTTTCCAGTAGGGCACAAATTCACCAAGTGAGGTGATAAATAGTTCCCTTTTGTTTTGCAATCCTCCTGAGCACCTGGGACACTCTCCTGGTAGTTAGGAGGTATTGATGTAAATGCCTTCGAGCTAAAAGGCAATTCTTCAATCCCTGGGTTACAGTACTGAAGGTGAGCACTCTACCAAATTCTGCCAGGCACTGAAGCCATCTGTGCAACAGAAGACCCTGACTTGTTGGGCTTGGAGAGGTTCCACTCAGCAGGACTTCTCTTAGAGCTGCTCCACCTACTTCCTAAACCACAAATAGGCACAAAGAGGAGACAGGTTTCCACGTGCCCAGTTTGGGGCAATTCTGAACACTTCTCTCCAGAAAGAGATTAACAAGAGTTCAGGTGGCTGCTCAGAGGAGATTTTCAGAACTGCACTTTTAGTTTGCCCATACTGTTTTCCTGGTTCTCAGTGTTTCAGGTTACATTTATACAGTTAAGTGGAGTGTAGTCAGAGAATTGGCAACATCCAGCAGGACTTTAAGTGGCTGTGGACTTTAAGTAGTTCTGACCTAGCTCTAGTTCATAGCCCAGCTCTTCTCAAAGCAACCCTCTCCCCAGCATAAACTATTCCACAGACTTTTTGCATGGAAGATTTGGTCTCCTAAGAAGAAGCTGGTGTCTAATTTACCCATCCCTGCTGTATTTGTGACCTCTAAGGAGGGAGGGTGGCAGGGTTTGGTGCAAATGTACGCCTGCAACACATAATAGAGCAGAACACATTAGATGTGCAAACACATGCTTGGAAGCAAAAAAAGGCCACATCTCCTCCCAAACAGAATGGTTTGGACTTGACACCAAACTTGATCCTGGGTTCAAAGGCAGTAGAGGAGCAGCCTCTGGCTTTTTGGTGTCTCTTTGCAAAACAGCAGTCACAGAAGTTTGTTTTCTCAGAGGGTAGCTGTGAAGAAAAATGCATTTTAATCTGGAGTGCCATTTATTGTGGCAACATGCCAAAACAGATCTAAAAAGGGAGGGTGAACTTTTTGAAGAGTCATCCCATCCTAGGTATTTAGCAATTGGAATGAAGTAAGCCTTAAGAAAACCAGGTGTAAAGGAAAACAGTTGAAGGAATTTAATTTAAAAAGCAGTTCCTTCTAGACTGCACAAGTTTTACTGTGTTCTTATTAGTGCTCCAGTATTTGACCAAATGCATTATTGAGTAAAGTGCTCTTTTGTGACATACATAAACTGAAATGAACTTTTAAAAGTAAATATATTTTCGATCTTTTATCTTAGAAAGAACATTAATACAATTACTAGATATTGTGTTTTCAAAAATAATTCTGCTGTAGGATGTCATCTGCAT